CTCCTGGCAAGTCCGGTTATTTTGAACTGAGCCGCAGAATCACCCTTGACGAACTGTAGACAGTTCAAAGCTCTGGACGATGTTGTTCTCCTAGATAACTTACTTTTGCTTCTGCCAGGCAGGTAGACATTAGTCACTTGTAGTCCCTTTAATCCAAACAGGATTGAGATCATTGGAATCTGGATGAACTGTTTCGCATTTCAAATTAAAACCTGAGGTGTATAATTTTTCCTTGCAGCCCTCAACTCTAATTTTTGTCCCTTCAGCCCATGTGTCTGTTAAAAACTGTTTAGCGTCTAGACCTCTTGGCCTCTACTTTCAGAATTGGCAGAGGCTGTCTCCAATGCCAAACTCATCTCTCCTTTCCTATGGACTCTTGGAACTCACACCCTCCCCCTGAGCGCTCTCTAATAGGCTCTGACAGCCTGTGTAAGGCTGCCCCCATGTGGGCAGCCTCATCACAGATTTTAACCCCATAAATCCTTATGCATTGCTTTCTGATAGTTTCAAACAGATATACAGGGGTGGGCGAAAGTAGGTTAATAATAATAATAAATAATACAATAATTAATAAACAATACAGTAATAAACATTTCCCATACTCACAACTGTAAACCTACTTTTGCCCACTCCTGTATAATTTCTCCAGCTTTTTTGGTTGTTTTCAATGAGAGAGCAGGCCCAAGTCATCTGCTCTGCCATTGCTGCAAACAGAGCTCTGTTTGTTCTCATCATTCTGGGCCAATATTTCCAAGACCAAATGTGCCTTTTCAATGTATAGATTTGAGTCTTCAGTTCAGGAAATTGTTGATTTTCTACTTCAAACTTCAATTATGAATGTTAGCTTTTTTGCCCACCTGTCTCTTATTTCCATAATTATTAATCCTGCCCCCCAATGAGGAAAAGAAACATAAGTATGAATAAAATGGCAATAACCATGTACCTATCAATAACCACTTTAAATGTAAATAGATTAAATGGTCCTCCAATCAAAAGACATAAAGTAGCTGAATGGATAAGGAAACAAGACCCATATGTATGCTGCCTACAAGAGACCCGCCTCAAAATGAAAGACACACAGATTGAAAGGATGGGAAAGGATATAGCATGCAAATGGAAAGAAACAAATAACAAGAACAACAATACAAAACGAAAATGGAGTAGCAATACTTACCTCAGACAAAACAGACTTCAAAAGAGAGATTACTGCCAAAACCGGTTTGGCTCAGTGGATAGAGCGTCGGCCTGCGGACTGAAAGGTCCCAGGTTCGATTCCGGTCAAGGGCATGTACCTGGGTTGCGGGCACATCCCCAGTAGGAGATGTGCAGGAGGCAGCTGGTCGATGTTTCTCTCTCATCGATGTTTCTAACTCTCTATCTCTCTCCCTTCCTCTCTGTAAAAAAATCAATAAAATATATTTAAAAAAAAAAAAAAAAGAGAGAGATTACTTAGGTGAACCTGACCTAATCCTCTTTACCAGCAGATTTAGAGGCCGACTATGGAAGAAGTCAGAGATTCTCTTGCTGGCCCCACAGAAACAAACTACAAGAGGAACTACCTATACAGAGTCGTGTGTCAGGCTACTGCAGGTGTCCTATTGCGGCTGAGGCTCAGTCCTATGACCACAAAGAATGAACTAATCAGCATAAGGATTCACTGAACTCTAGGAAATTGCCATTATTTTGCATGTCAAAGAGAGTCAAACATCAAAAGTTTCCTATGGCACAACCTCTATATACAATGTATTCTAAATAACACGGTTGGTGATCTGTACTAGGCCTTTGTTGCTGTATAGTAAGATACAACGTTCTTAGTGGCTTAATCTAGTACCCATGGATTATCTTGTTTCTGTAGGTCAGAAGTTGAGGCACATCCTAGATGGGTTTTCCACTCAGGGTCTCACAGGCTGAAATCAAGGTATTGAGGGGGCCCGAGTTCCTCACCTGGAGCTCAGGGTTCTCTTCCATCCCCCATGAATTTGTAGGTGATTACTATCCCAATGATTTTTTAAAATATATTTTTTATTGATTTCAGAGAGAAAGGAAGAGGGAGAGAGAGATAGGAACATCAATGATGAGAGAGAATCACTGATCAGCTGTCTTTTGCACCCCTACATTGGGGATTAAGACCACAACCCAGGCATATGCCCTGACCAGAAATCGAACTGTGACCTCCTGATTCATAGGTCGATGCTCAACCACTGAGCCCCACTGGCTGGGCTATTCCAACTATTTTTAACATTTTTTCATTAGGTATTAACTGAAAGGTCTTCATATGATTATAATAGATAATATCTTATTTAGTCTACATAGGCCAGATAAATAGCATTCAGTAATGAAAGATGCCTTAAGATGTATTCCAGGAGAAACAAATTTTATTTGTCACTTAATAACATTGGATTTGTAATAAAAATATTAGGGAAACTAAAATTAAAATAAAATAAAAATATTAAAATTCCCCAACCATTGGCATTGTCATGGTTCAATGATCCAGGATCACCGGAAGCAGATGATCCTCCTTCTGATGATCATCAGAAGGTCAATAGTAGCCTAACACTAAGTCACATGCCTGTCATTCACCTCCCTTCCTCTTATCATGTAGGCATTTTATCATCCCACATCATCACAAAAGGGTGAGTGCAGTGTAGGATTTGAGACCACATTCACATAACTTTTATTACAGGATATTGTTATAACTGTTCTATTTTATTATTGTTATTGTTAATCCCTTATTGTGCCTAATGTATAAATCAAACTTTATCATAGATATGTGTGTATAGGAAAAAACATAGTACATGGTTCGGTACCATCTGAGGTTTCAGGCGTCAACTGGGAGTCTTGGAATGTATCCCCCATGGATAAGGAGAGACAACTATAATTGCTGCTTTGTCTATTGATTTTTAACTCATGTCAAATGTTTGGCAGGCCAACTCCTTACATATGCAGGGCCCTCCCTGCACCTAGACTTCTAGGCCCCAGAACTGAGTCAATACATTTGTTGTGTCTGTGGTTCTTTGTTACAGCAGCACTAGGAAACATACAGAGGGTGTGCCCCCTCACCCCCGCACCCTCTGCCCCGTGCCCTCCTGCTTCCCATTGCTCTGGTTGGTTTCTAGGAAAAGATGGAAGGAACTTTGCATCTAAGTTGTTGCCAAGTTCACTGGGCACTATTCTCTACTTGTACAAAAGAACTCAGTCACTAGAATTGCCTACGTGGTGATCCCCCAAAAAGAATGGGTTCCTATTCCATATGCTAACCACAAATGATTCAGAATGAAAGGAGTATCTTCATACATGGAGATGAATGAACTTTCCCACAGTGTAAGTGTGACTACAATATGTCAGGCCTTCGAGTTATTGATTGTGTCCTTGCTAAGTACTCACAGTTACAAATGCTCTCTGGAAGTAGTTACACACCAAGTTCTGGTAAAAGTCCATTAAGCCCTCCAAGCCCCGTATGAGAACACAGCCTTACTATGTGAGAAAAATTGGGAGTTCTACTGTCAGGGCTGTGGAAACCTCAATGAGGTCACTATCTCCTTGCCCTGGCCTATGTAGTTCAGCTGGTTGGAGCACTGTTTCCTACAGCAACGGGGAGCACATCCCTGTGTTGTGGGTTTGATCCCTTGTCAGGGCCCATGTGGGAGGCAATCATTCGATATTATTCTCTCTCTCTCTCTCTCTCTCTCTCTCTCTCTCTCTCTCTCTCTCTCTTTCAAATCAGTAAAAATAAAATTTTTAAATTAAAAAATATTCTTCTTTCCTTCCATTCCATCCTGAACTCATTCCAATCATCCTTTATCCTCACCATTCCATTAAAATCATACTACTCAAACTCACCAATGAATTCCAGATTGTCAAGTCCAGTGGTCAATTCAGTCATCTTGACTCCCTTTTGTGAACCTTGGCTTCTGAGACACCCTCCTTCCTCCCCTTCCTTTCTTTCCTTCTCTGCTGCTGTCCCTCTCTTTCCTTCCTCCCTTCCTTTTCTCTTTCTCTCTTACCTAACAGGCTTCCTCCTCTTAGTCTTCTTTGTTGCATCATTCTATTTTCCTTATTTCTAGGCAGAGGAGCACTCTATGATTCAGTCTGCTGACCATTTCTCTTTATCCACCATCACTCTCTCTGTAATCTCACCTGGTCCCACTGCTTTAAATACTATTTAGACAGTGATTTCTCCCACAGTTATATCTCTGGCATTGACACTGTCCCTGAATTCCAGGTAAGTATATCCAAAGGATGACTTGATATCTCCACTTGGTCTACTAGTTTTCCAAAACTCAACACACCCAGTATAAAACTTTTTATTTCCACTCCCACCAGAAAATGTTCTCACCCCTCTCTCCTGTCTTCATTTGTCTCAGTAAAAGACAACTCCATTTGTTTGTTTCTTACGTCAAAAACTTTAGAAATACCCTTGACTTCTTTCTCTCATATTCACCTCTTGTTCCTCAACAAATGACGTTGGCTCGATCTTAAAAATATACTCAAAATCTTACTGCTTCTTCACAGCTATTTAATAATTTAATTTAAACCACTATAATTTCTTACCTACACTAATGCAAAATCATTCTAATGGGTCTGCCTACTTCCACAATTGCTCCCTAACAGCCTATTCTTCGGATAGCGACCAGATGAAATGTAAAATGATGCTACTTCTTGGCTTATACCCTTCCAAGTTTCCTGTCACACCATGAGTAAAAGCTAATTGTTACCATTTTCTATAAAGCCCTACGTAATCATGCCCCCAAATGCCTTCCTAAATCCATTTCTGACCCTTCTCTTCCCTCATCCTGCCAGCCTTTGCTGCTACACTTACCCTTTAGGGCATTTGCACTTGACTATTCCCTCTACTAGAATGGTCTTCTTAATATCAACATGGCTGACTCCCTCACTGTCTTTAGATCTGTCTAAACCGCACATTACAAAGGCCTTCCCTGATCAACTTAATAGAAAAATACCCTGCCCAGCGGGTCTCACCCCAGTGGGCACGGGCGGAGATGGCCGGCCAGGACAGGTTTATTTGTATATACCCTGCTTATTTAAATAACAAGAAGACCATTGTGGAGGGCAGGCGAATCCCCATAAGTAAGGCTGTTGAAAATCCTACAGCTACAGAGATTCAAGATGTGTGCTCAGCATTTGGACTTAATGCATTTCTTGAGAAAAACAAAATGTACTCCAGAGAATGGAATCCTGATGCTCAGTACAGGGGCAGAGTCCGGGTTCAACTCAAACAGGAAGACGGCAGCCTCTGTCTTGTACAATTCCCATCACATAAGTCAGTAATGTTGTATGCAGCGGAAATGATTCCTAAACTAAAAACAAGGACACAAAAAACAGGAGGCAGTGACCAAACTCTTCAGCAAAGAGAGGGAGGTAAAAAAGGGAAAGGAAAGAAGAAGTGACCTGGCAAGACAATCAAGTCTGACATTCTACTTTAAGAGACGTGGATGGAGGTTTCTGATTTGTATTTGAGAGAAACTGAAGCTTTTTGTTTGTATCATTTAACTGAACTATGAACATTTGTGCCTCCCAGCTTTAGCATGAGAGTTGACAATGAAATAAATTTACATCAAAAGTTTGCATCTGCCGAAACCGGTTTGGCTCAGTGGATAGAGCGTCGGCCTGCAGACTGAAAGGTCCCAGGTTCGATTCCGGTCAAGGGTATGTACCTGGGTTGCGGGCACATCCCCAGTGGGAGATGTGCAGGAGGCAGCTGATTGATGTTTCTCTCTCATCGATGTTTATAACTCTCTATCTCTCTCCCTTCCTCTCTGTAAAAAAATCAATAAAATATATTTTTAAAAAAAAGTTTGCATCTAACTCTTACGCAGTATAAAAGAAATTTTTTTTTGCCTTTCAATGCAGTTTTTGTGGAAGAAAGAAGCTTATTTTTAAATGGACAATGGCCTCTACCATAAGTTACTTGAAATTCTGTATCTGTGCTCTATGTAAACATATTCAGATAAATGAGTTTAATAAGATTTGAAACACATATTGTTCACCTTTTAAGCTAATGAAATAAAATTCAAAACTGACTGTGTAGCTTTTGCTTATGAACTAATCAATGCCAGAGGAAGAGATCATTTAAAAGAATAAAATGGGAAGCCTGACTGGTGTGGCTCAGTGGTTGAGTGTCAACCTCTGAACCAGGAGGCCACAGTTTGATTCCTGGTCAGAACACATACCTGGATTGCGGGCTTGATCCCCAGTGTGGGTCATGCAGGAGGCAGTCAATCAATTATTCTTTCTCATCAATGATGTTTCTATCTCCCTCTCCCTCCTTCTCTAAAATCAATAAAAATACATTTTAGGAATAAAAAAAAAGAATAAAATGGGTAGTGGATGTTTAGTATGACCCTGAAAGTAGAAGAAAGTAGTTAAATCCTCTTGCAGGTCTATGAACAGCCAGTCTAGATCATATTCTTTTTTTTTAATTGATTTTCTTTTTAGAGAGGAGGAAGGGAAAGAGAAATATTGATGTGACAAACATCAATCTGCCGCCTCCCGTATGCACCCCAATTGGGGATCTAACCCGCAACCTAGGTGTGTGCCCTGACCAGGAATCAATCACACAACCTTTTGGTGTATGAGATGATGCTCCAACGAACTGAGCCACCCAGCCAGGGCTAGATCATATTCTTTTAATTAGTTATTGTAATTGAGTAGTTCAATTACTAGTTTTTGACATGGAAAGTCCTGGAGTTTAAGCTTTAGATTTGCTTATTTTGTAGGCTTAAGGACACTATTTCATTGGAGTTCTAAAATTACCTCTGCTTTAGCACCTTGAGATACAACTTTTTCTTTTTCTTTTGTTTCTTTTTTTTAAATTCTTTATTAGTTAAGGTATTACAAATGTGTCCTCATCCCGCCCATTAAATCCCCATCCTCCCCTCATGCTCTCATCCCCCTGTTGTCCATGTCCATTGGTTTAGCTTATATGCATGCATACAAGTCCTTTGGTTGATCTCTTCCCCTTGCCCCCTCCCTCCCCTACTTTCCCTCTGGGGATTAATAGTCTGATCGCTGTTTCTCTGTCTTTGGATCTGTCGAGACACAACTTTTTCAATAAATTAAATTGGATTGCTGATTCTACCTTTATTACAAAGCAGTTTCTGAAAGTGGGAATTTTTTGTAAAATTGAAGAGAATCCCTAGCTAGCCATATGTTTTTGTCCACTGAGAGTCTCTTGGGCAACTGCCTTCTCTGACCCCCTATGCTTCTGGAAGGGCTGTTGGCCATGCGCTGCCTAACAGTTTCAGTCAGTGATGGCCACATATACAACTGTGATCCCATAAGATTATAATGAAGCTGAAAAATTCCTATCCCCTAGTAACGTTGTAGCTGTTGTAAATTCGGAGCACAACATGCATTACTTGTGTTTATGTTGATGCTGATGTAAACAAACTTGCACTGACAGTCACATAAAAGTATTGCACACACAATTATATACAGTACATAATACTTGATGATAACAAATGACTGTTACTGGTTTATGTATTTACTATACTAAACTTTATTACTATTTTAGAATGTACTTTCTACTTATAAAAAAAGTTTGCTATAAAACCATTGCCATGTTATACCATCAAAAAAAAAAAAATACCCTGCTCACCCTAGCTGGTTTGGCTCAGTGAATAGAGTGTCAGCCTGCTGACTGAAGGGTCTCGTGTTCAATTTCAGTCAAAGGCACATGCCTGGGTTGCAGGCTCCATCCCCAGTAGGGGGCATGAAGGAGACAGCGGATCAATGATCCTCTTTCATCACTGATGTTTCTATCCCTCTCTCCCTCTCCCTTCCTCTATGAAATCAATAAAAATATATCTTTTTAAAAACATTGAAAAATAAAAATACTCTGCTCTATTTCACTGGATAACTTCAACACCAACTGGTGTATTTGACTATTGTATTTCCTCACTACAGCAAGCTCTGAAGGAGGGATGCTGTCTGTCACACCCAGTGCTGCATTTCTAGCACCTACATTTGTGGCATGTTTATTAAATGAATGAATGAATCCTACCTGATGCTAGCCAGGGTATCTGACCTCACATAAACCCCTGTTCTGAGACTTCCTGAATACTGCAGCACCCTCTTTGGAGGCTAACCCTGGAATGTACACGTGCAAAAACACTCAAATAGCAAAATTTCTGAGCTACATCTTCAACGAAGTAATCTTCATAATATCCACCAAGAACTCATTCATAGATTAGGAGCCTTTCAAAAAGATGAAAATATATCCACTACTTCAAGGAAAAATTAACTTCTCATTTCTTCACTAATCACAAGATGAAGGAATTGTTTTTGTTTGTTTGGCACCAGAACAGTGCTTGGTATCTATTGGGCAACTCAGCAATTCCTGAAAGAGTGAATGCAGAGAACCCATTGGTAACTGGGGCCTTTCAAGTATTGGAAGACACTATTCACTGCCACCCCATTCTAACTTCTCTAACCAGCTTGGCCTGCCATCTAATGGTAGTTGCTTCCAACACTGTGCTAGGGTCCAATCTATCCCAATACAACTCAGGTTCTAGTGACCTCCATCTGAACCACTTTCTTCAGGACACAGGCTCCAACTGAGGTCATAATTCCAAGATTTGGAAAAGAGGCATCACACCACCATAAAAAGGGCATAAATGGTTTGGCACAGGTAGGTTACTACCTAAGTACAAAGGTGTTGGGCAGAATATTCCTGAATGGTCCATCCAATGAGGGAGGGTGGCTGTTCAGTCTACATCCAAGCATTACTTGTAATGATCACTGCATCCCATCCAAGACAATAAATACTGGCACTTTTGAGTAGCCTCACATGCAGCTCAAAGTTTCGGGATGTTGATCCTGTCACTGACCATGGTTGGCAACGGCACTCCTCCCAACATCACTACCCAGTACTTTCCCAGAGAAGGAAGTATCATGAGCTCACTTCTAGTAAATATAAACCTTATGATCTCCTTTGGTGTTATTTAAAATTTTGAAATAAAATGTAACAATGGTAGCTTTAAAATATGCCTTTTCAAAACACACACACCTTTCTTCCATGTTGAGAATCTGCTAAAGCAGGAGACTGTTTATAACATTACCTATTTGCTATCTCCATGCCCCAAAATGTGATCTCCCACTTCAAGTGAACTGTACTCAAAGAAAAATCTACACTAATATAAAATAGAAAGATGCAAATTGACCTTACCTTTGCACCACCCACAAGCCAATCAGGAGTAAGTATGCAAATTAGCCCAACAAAGATGGCAATGACGCAGGTGTTCTGCACCGCCCCAGCTGCTCCGGACCTCTGGGCAGCGTGGGAAGGCAGAAAGGCAGCTCCCGGCCAAAAAGAAGGCAGAAAGGCGGCTCCGGCTGGAGCAAAGGCGGTGCCAGCAGCCAGGGGAAGGAAGGCCCATTCTTGCACAAATCTTTGTGCATCAGGCCTCTAGTTAAAATATAAATAGAAGACTGGTGTATTTTTTTTTAAGTAGCATTTATAATGTTTTGTAAGAAATGCCTTAAGTATTATTTTAAATACTTGTATCATTTTCTAGGTATGATGGAGCTTAAATGGTCTAGAATTCAGTTAGACATACAATAACAACCTACTCCTAGGCTTTTATTTTTTAAAGTGTATTAAAGTGTATATTAATTTAAAGAGTAACAGCACATGGGTACCAAACATTCTGATAAACAAATACACTAGGACACGTTAGGAGCCCCCTGTGGAATGCTGCCTTGGCTGTATTCCTCTCCCTCCTGGCCTGCAGAACTACGACATTGGACTTTGTTAATGATTTCCTTGTATTTTCTCTTGTTTCCCCAACAAAGGAATTTCTCACACACATTCACAATTTTGCCTGTTTTGGAACTTTGTAAAAATGGAATAAAACTGTCTGAATTCTTCTATGACTTGCTTTTTCCAGTCAGCATACGTTTAACATTTATGTTGCTGTGTGCAGCTAGAATTCTTGTATTTTCAGGCTATATATTTCATTGTACAAATGTTCCATTTATGTACTCTATGGTTGGTTGACATTAGAACTGTTTCCAGATTTTTGCTATTAGAAATTTTGCTATATTCTTTTAAATGCATCCTAGTGTAGAGATAGTTTCTCTAATATATATATACTTAATTTTGGCTGTACCAATATATATACACCTTTCAGCAGTATTTTTCATTGTACCATATCCTAGCCAATACTTAGAACTGACTAATCAAACCTTTTTGTGTGTGCCAATTTTGTAGATGTGAAATGTCACTGGTGATTTTATAATGTTCTTTTTTTTAAAAAATATATATTCTTGCCCTTAACCAGGTTGGTTCACTGG